TGCACAATACTTGTGCACATGTCATTTTGTATTTTTGCAAATGTGTTGACTACAGTGTTTTTAAAAGGCAGGTTTTCCTCCATAATCTGGAATTTTAAGGTTGAAAGGCATAACAGATATAATTTCATTAGTTCAGTCTTATTTTTTTAAAGATAATTGAGCCCTACAAAAATTAACAGTAAATTGACTCAGATAGTCAAGGGCAAAATTTAGACCAGAACTAACTTATTTTGAATCTTAATCTAGAGTTATTCTGTATATTTTGTGGAAAAAACTATATTCTAAGAAATATATATACATTTTATAAGAAAGTACCTGTAAAACTGAAATTAAAGGACCAGTTAATACGCATTCCATATCCCTAACTCCCTAAGATCAAATCTCTTGATCTGTTAAAGCAACAACATATGGTAAGTACAATATCAGACACATGGTAATAAATGAATATTACATTGTTTTGGAATCTAGTTCCTTTTTAATCATAAAGACAAATAATTTAAAAAAATGTCTACCCTCTGACTTTCTTCTATTTGAATATTTATTTGTATCTAGTAAGGTAAAATATCTTGCAAAGTTTCACATACGTCTATTTAATAAAGATTAATTTCACTGAAAATTCATATGTTGATTTTACAACAGTGTGAGGCAACTGTTAATACCGATTTTGCTTCTGGCCAGATCTGGATGTGTGGAGGTAAGCTCTTCATCATCCCTTGCTCCAGAGTGGGACACATCTTCCGAAAAAGGCGACCATATGGATCTCCTGAAGGCCAGGACACCATGACACACAACTCCTTGAGGCTGGCACATGTCTGGCTGGACGAATACAAGGTGAGATGACATTTTTTGTTTGGAAGGGTGAGTGATGGGCCAGTCACTGCTGGGGTGAGAGCTTCGGTTGCTCTTCTTTTCACTCTAGCTTATTTCTGCTTGGTTGACCTTCACTGGTTTCTTTTTTCTCTCTTGTCTTCACCCAGTATTTCACTTGTTTTTGGTTCTAATCTGACTCTTCTTTTCATTTTTTAAGTGGCCACTCTAGAGGAGGTAACGTAGTCAGCATCAGAAGAAACTCTGTTGTTTTCGTTATTCCTTCTGGTTCCTCTTGTGACTCCCATGGAGTTGGCTTCTTTCTTTTGTTCACTGGACTTGGCTGGGACACACTCCCACTGCTTGTACACTGAGCATTCCTTCCCACTTTCAGTATTTTCTTTGTAATAGCTTCATTGAGGAATAATTCACAAATCAATTTTGGAACATTTTATCACCCCAAAACTTCCATTCATCACTCCCATTCTCCCCAGCCTCAGACAACCACTGATCTACCTCTTGACTTCACAGTTAATTTGCCTTTTCTGGACATTTCATACAAACGGAATCATACACTCGTGGTCTTTGTCGTCTGCTTCCTCCGTGGCACAGTGTTTTCAGGTTGATCCGTGCTGTACTATGTATCGGCACTTCGTTTACTTTCATTGCCAAATATTTCATTGTATGAATACACCACATTTTACTTATCCATCTGTCAGCTGATGGACATTTGTGTTTGTTTTTGACTGTTACCAAAAATATTTCTGTATTTGTATAGTTATTTTTAAAAATAAACTTAATTGAACACATACGGATAAGACGAACAGGGGAGTGCACACTAATTTTCAGCACTGGGTAAATGCAGATGGGGATGAAGCAGCTACCTGTGCACGGGGAGTATAAGTAGCACTTCTGCGACAATACTCTCTCCTCCCTCCCACCCTCTAGCAGACTTTGAGGTCCAACTCCATGCTAATCTTTGAATCATCACTGTCTGACATAGTTCTCAAAACATGGTCAGGTCCCAGCCACTCTTTCGAGGAGGCCTGCCAGGTCAGAGCTGTTTAAGAATATCATTGATGAAACAGTAAAAATAACTTTATTAAATCTCAATATGTCGCATAGTATTCTATGTGAGTGTGCATGCTCACACAGAAAGCACTTTTGCTGCATACCGAAGTACAGTGGTTGTTTTAAGGAAAAATACTTGTGTAGTTGTTCGAGTTGTGAGCTGAGCCAGCCAATATTCTCCAGGAACATTTCTTTTTGTGTAAAAGAATGACTGACTCAAAAACCACAATTATTCATATTTGAGTATTTGACAGTTACTTTCTTAAAAATGAACCAAGTAATGAAAATGAAAACAGGTGATAGTATTTGTTGCAAATGATAAAATTCAAGCTCTCAAATGAAAATCCAAATTTTGAAAATCTTGTCTCTACCCTCGTGAGCTTGACAGCTTCCCAGTACTTAAAAACTTTATTGATGAGATCAGTGGTGATATATATGAATGTGATTTTTTGATATGGTAGAGTGAAATTTTTCAGTATTTGGTGGAATGTACAACACAATGGACCAGTATTTTCCAAATGACTGATGCATGATGTTACAAAAATCTTGTATGAATAAAAGATACATTCAAAGAGAAAGATAGACCAGTACGTTTTAATGCAACAGTATGAAGATCTCAATGATGTGATTTTATATTCCATGTTGTAACTAAATTTTAAAAGTTGAGTTTTGGTGCCGTATAAAAAAAATACCCATAATTATCTGTAGTAGCTATTAAAATATTCTTTCCATTTCAACTACATATTTTCATTAGATATTTTTGAAAATATGTATATTGAACCAAAACAACATATGATAGGCTTAATGCAGCTGTGAGAATTAAGCTGACTTCTTTTAAGCCACACAGTAAAAGGTTTTATAAAAATACAAAGCAATGCCACTGTTCTTAGTACCTTTTGTTTTTAAAAATGAGTGTGTTATTAAGGAATTAATATTTTCAAATTTCTCAGTTTTAATTTCTAATGTGGTAAATATGAATAGATACAGCCTACACAAGCAGAACCTTCTTGTTGTTTTCCATAAGTTACGAATACAGAGTCCTGAGACCAAAGAGTCTGAGAACCACCAATCTCATATATATGCCTTTTTCATTGGTTCTCAGATCACAGTTTTATACATTTTGCCATTTCTGAAATTGGGATGTATCTTACAATTTAAGGTATGTCTTATTGTTGTCAGTTAGTAACGGACTTGCAAAAAATTTCCATTAACATTTTCTGGCAACATTAAGAAAACACTAGCATGAAAAATAAATAATTGCATAACATTCTTTTTTTCTTTTTGAGACAGGGTTTCACTCTGTTGAAGTACAGAGTGCAGTGGCATCATTACAGCTCACTGCAGCCTCCAGAACCTGGGCTCAAGTGATTCTCCTGCCTCAGCCTCCCGAGTAGCTGGGACTACAAGTGTGCCACCACGCCCAGTTATTTTTTTTTTATAGAGACAGGGTCTCACTATATTGCTGGGCTGGTCTTGAACTCCTGGCCTCAGGCGATCCTCCTGTCTTGTCTTCCCAAAGTGCTGGGATTACAGGTGTGAGCCACTCAACAACGAGCCACATAATATTCATTTTTAACAAAAGAAATCTATTCTCTTATCTTTCTTTCAATTCAGGAACAGTATTTTTCCTTAAGACCTGATCTCAAGACCAAAAGCTATGGAAATATCAGTGAGCGTGTTGAATTGAGGAAGAAGTTGGGTTGCAAATCATTTAAATGGTATTTGGATAATATTTACCCAGAGATGCAGACATCTGGGCCCCATGCCAAACCCCAGCAACCCATTTTTATCAACAGAGGGCTGAAACGCCCCAAAGTCCTTCAACGTGGAAGGGTAAGAAAGCA